CGTAACCAAAGCGAACCGACTTGGCATTGTTGGCCGCGCTCCCGATAGCTTTTAGGGGATGTTTTGCCTAGCAGACGTATGGTAAATGACTTTTGTCTATTTCCAGATATACACACTCCGATTTCCTCAAGCGATCACAAATGATACTGCAATATTCCAAAAGTGGGCGGGGGAGGAATTTGAAGAGTTCCACTCTGTCTGGGGTTGTGTGCATCTTACGTAGTCTATTAACCAATGATTTTCTGGCCCATGCCAGCTGGTATTCCACTTGTTCGGAAAAGTTGCAAGTGCTACAATATCTGATTCCAAGGTCGCGGGTAGACAGCTGTACACAAAGGTGTGCGCCGTGGAGTGTAATTGAGACCTCGGGTAAAAAACAGCCGCGATATATGATGCTAGCTTTTTTCGCCGAGAACTTCATCATCCAGGTGTCACACCATTTCTCAAGAAAGTTTAGGTCTCCCTGTTTGAGTAGTGTTGAATATATATATATATATATAACATGAGGAAAAGGTAAGTATGATAACACTTTCTAATAGCACTAGCGAAAGTCACATATAGGAAATGAGCAAAAATATGTTGGACACGGTGTTCAGTGAAGTAAAGTCAAGTCCTTTTCTCACGCTGCAGTTAGATGAGTCGACCGACGTCGCATCCTGCTCCCAACTACTTGTCTAGCTTCAGTACATAAAAGGTGACGGCTTCAAAGAAGAGTATCTGTTCTCAGAATCAGTGGGCACAACTACACATGGAAAAGATGTCTTGCGAACAGCGGAGGATTTTGTTCAGGAAATGGAGCCACAAAGGTCGAAGTTGGTGGGTGCCCATACAGACAGAGCACCAACCATGGACGTCCGTTCCGGATTCCAAACATTAGTCAACATATTTGCTCCGCACGCTACCTTTAGCCATTGCATCAAATCTCCTTCTGCTTTAGTAGTGAAAACTCTTCCACCTGTTTTACTGGATGTGTTAAGCAAGGTAGTGAAAATAGAAATCACATCCGCGGTAGTGCAACAAATACAAGCGTTGTTAAAGGGTTGTGCAATGTGTTTGGATGGAAATTCGAAGTTCTTTTATTGCACACAGAATTGGGTAGGTTATGCTGAGGCAAGGTGTTGCGGCCATCGCTCGAGCTTGCAGAAGAAATAGCATTGTCTCTTGAAAGGATGGAGCGGCCTAAGGGTAAGGACGACGGGTTACCCGCGGTATTAACAAACAATGTGTTTGTTTCTAAATTGGCATTTCGTGCGGATTTCTTCGGAGCAATAAATACATTGACACTTCAGCTTGCAAACAAATATTATGAATATTTTACTTGTTCATGATAGGGTTGCCAGTTGTCTCCACCAATTGCAGCTTTAGCAGCGCAGAGCTGGTGTTGACGAGGTTTCGATGCACCCAGAAGTAACAATGGTGCTCACGGGAAGGAAGTACTAATACCCTTTCATAGATCAATTAGCTCTCCACTTATCATCAGTGGTACATTCTATCAGCAAATATTTTCTTGATTTGGAAAATCGCCAAGGAAATGCTTGTGTGCTAAGACCCTTTCAGTGAATGAATTTATATTTCCGGATACTGGAATCGATGCCAAAGCACAATTCCTAGGAATTTGCGAAGATAACGCATTGAACATAAATTTCCAACACTCACACACACACAACCAGCAGCATTTTGGGGAAAGGTAGGTAGGGAGTATCTATTGCTGTCGGAAAGAACACTGAGAGTATTGATCCCATTTGCAACAACTTATACGTGTGAAACTGTATGTTCGACAATGATGACAATGCAAACAGAAGTAAGAACTCAAATGAACTTGGGGTACGACCTACGATGTGAGTTAGCCGAAACTGCAACAAATATAACAGAAATTGTTGGGACTAAGCAATATCAACCATCTCATTGACGCATGTCACCTTTTGCTTTTTTAAAAGTTGCACAAAAATAGCTGTTATCGTTCTTCGAATACTTGAGAGTCATTTCAACTAGCTATTATTCCAGGAACTAAAAGCAAAAAGCACGATAGCTATACGTTAACTAGCTTCTAGAATGGAAAGCTGTTTGGGAAGCAACTGATTACAGTAAACCCGACTTGTGGGTAACATCCTCAAAAACGTTAAGAACCACTGCTCTAAACATTGCTGGCTGGTCTGACTCGACAATTCTTTAGGACTAGGGTGAGGAGCCTGAAAGCGAGGGGTTGCCAGGAACTGTAGTCTAGAAGCACAGTTATGGCAGAAAACGCCGCTGCTATACGAAACCTCTACGTGTAACTCGGTCAATGTTGGAAGCGGGAAGTATGAGGACTACGGTGTCTGTACCGACGTGGAACCAGGATGAAAAGTATTATTGGCTTGTGCCCTTAACTTAACCCTTGATTGATTGATTAACTGAATACAATGATGGAGCATTTGTATCGGTTTATTGCCGCTTACTATGATTTTCAAACCAGTGTCGTATCAACTAGTTTTCTCGCACGAGGTGGTCGTAAAATTTCCTTCCCCGCTGACACTTTAATTTCGTAAACCCTCAAAGTCGGCTCAGTGTAAATTGCACTGCGGGTATTGATGAACTGGATGATCAAGGGAGGCAGAATTTGTGTAAAGGATTCTTTTCGGTAATTCTCATCAGACTCAAACATTACATGATGACGACAAAGTTTTAAATGTGCCGGAATGCGTTGCAAATGTTTAATTCCAACAGGAATAAAGCAATAACTCACGGTGTCCTAGAGGGTAGCAAAGTATGTACGGGGAAATCACAGCAGAAATTGTAGACAACGGTATAATCAAAAAACATACAAACTGTTTTTGTACGCACAATTCCAGCTTGAGTTCGCGGATGTACATGACTTCCGCAATAGACAGGAGGTACTACTAGAATCCGCGCGAGAAACGTTCAGGGATAGTATAGCGGACTCTGAAATGGTTTCCGTCCCTGCGTGATCGCACTCTAGTAGGTGTGACAGGATAGAGCTGTTACTAGACCTTACTTCGCTTTTGTAAAATCACCTCGGGATGTGTTCGCGAATTCTATGTGACAGGCGCATCGTAGTACGACCCACGTATCATGTATAATAAGAGCACGAGTAAAGATAATCAAGCATTCATAGAGTCATCGGAGGCAGCCTGTCTTTTAAAGGTTTTGCGAATAAAGGACCATTGCAAAATACCATGCGTAAGTGACCTGCGAATTAAGTCTTTTCAACAGCGTCTTTCAGGCTTTTGGACAGGGCATCAGCCACACTGTCGCCTTTAAAAGCAAAATGCGCAATTAGTTCTTTCTCGGGTACCTTCCTCCGCGGTGGTTTTATCTTGCGTTCTTTCAAATGTTTGAGGATGAGTTTATCTGAATATCCATTCGCTCTTAGAGCGTCACCGATCCTCTGAAATTCATTGGTGTTTGTGTCCGGTATGCAAATACTGTGTACCCGAAGGCAAAAGTGCGGACTAGGTTTCGTTTGTACTGTAGGGGTACCGCACTATAGAAGTTGGCGCCCTGTCCAGTCCAAGTTGGTTTTCTATACACTGCTCTGCTACACGATCCATCCCTTGATTCCTTCTATTAAATGAGAATTTTCTGATTGCTGAAGATCAGCATTACCCCTGATTCAGTCAAAATGGATGATAGTTTGTAACACTAAGGTAAATGTAGAGAAAGTGACTACAACGGGACAAGTAAGAGAATCACCGGTAAGAACGTTTGCTCAAGTGTGAGACATGGCTCAAAAGTGTTGTTGGTCCTACAGAGTAACATTAAAATATTCAACCCTCATCTTGTCCGAAAAATTTGCCTTTTCTATTTGGTATCGAACATACGACGGTACAATAATACCGTCCCTGTCACCTGTCGCCCGGGGCGGATCGTCCGCCCCTTGCTGCGTCTCTGGTTCGAGCACACCGGAATCCCTGTTATTGACCTTAAGGAACATCAACCTAGGAAGTCGTATCCCAAATGTAGCTATCTGTGTTTACGAAAGTTGTGCAAAAACGATACACTATGGCAAGTTTGACATTTAGGCGGACATCGCATCTTAAGCAACATCGGATGAACGGTACGGTAGAAAGGATACCATCGGGGCCTTCACTTCGCCAGTTATCAAGTACACACAGCGTACATCTTTACTGTGTTTAAGGCATAGCTTTTCCGCTCTAGTACATGGTAGAATTTGTTTAAAATAGTCAGCACTGGCTTGTACGCTGTACTAAATTGACCCCCAGCGATTTCAAGCCATCATATCTCTTACACTTTATTTACTTTTTACGGTTTGGTTCTAAAATTGAAAGAATACCGAGTGAAACTTATCTTTAATGAACGTTCGACTTGTGCAGTTGTGCTAACACCGCGTGTTGAAGTTGGATCCGAAGGCTGCATCAGATGCCTCCTGGTTACTTCCGCTAATTCCGGCTCCTACATGGGTATCAGTATTTTTGATACTCTACATGTCGCTCCAAATATAAATTAAAAACAGTCTCTATCATGTTTTTCACGTGCTCAGTATCGTAATCGGGTGTCTATCCGTTTAAATTGCTGTGAAATTCGACTGTTAAACATCCTGCCTTCGTAAGATAAACTCCAATAAACGCAGATGTATGCCTTACTTACTCTACTTCCAGATACTATATGGTACGCATTGAAGAGGTTTTATAGAAATGGACAGAGTAAGTAGTTAACTAACGGCCGACTAACAATTGAAATGGATACTACTGTCGGGAAACTATCTGGCGAACTCACTTAAACTTCCAGACGGCAAATAGTAAGATAAGGAACATATCTGATTTGCAACTATTTTTGACCATTCCTAAGCTAGACTTAGGAGAGAGAGAGATTCTCGTCTTCTCCTCCGGAATCTACAAAATCTCATCTGTTCAGCTGTTGCCACGATGTGCAAGAAAATTGCCGACAATTGCTTTAAAATCGTATCCTTTTCTGTTCGTAACAATCTGACAGGTGTATCTAAGACCCCAACAACGTTTATGCATTCTCTCCTTTTTCAGGTCACTTCACGCAGTTGTTGTGGAGAGAGACCAAAGAGCTGGGAATCGGTTTTGTCCCATCCGACACTCCTGATCGAGCCTTCATAGTGTGTTTTTATCACCCGCCGGGTAATGTAAAAGGCCAATTCCTCGTCAACATCTCACCTCCGATTGTGTGGGAGTAGTTCTCTGCGGCTTAATCGTACCCCATATGTGCTTCTGCATTAGATGCAAATACAATTCTTGGTTTTGTGTCAAATGCTGTTGTAAGAAACAGCGATTTTTTGAATCTTGAGTGGTGCGAGACTGCACTGTTGCGATGTACTGACAGGTATGTTGTGCTGAATGGGCAGTATTGTGAACAGAATATTTAGCGACGCCAAACAGCGATTACGAGGGCCATTCTGTGTTGTTCATTAGACGCGGAGACAGGCGGCATGTTAGTATCCGGAAAGTGTTTAGTACAGATGGAATGACCTCAGCAGATCAGCTGTGGGCTTTTGATAGTGAATTGCGAAACTTCAATTACACAGCATTATGAATACCAAGTTTTCTTCCCCTTGTGTGAGTATATTGCGTTTTTGCTTCTCCGCAACTACGGTACTTTTGCCGTTGACTCAAACTAACCGTTATTCATTGGAACAATGGTTTATTACGGGTAAAAAAGCATCGCTTAACAAGTCCTGTGGGATGGAAATTATTGCGAAAATCAATTGCATAATACAGTGAAAAGCGTTGTGGTGGACTCACCATAGACTTATGTAGAACAGCGGAGATGTTCGCGTATTAAAGGTATAAATCCATAAATCCATTGGTTAGACGTTTGGCAAGACACCGTTTGATTGCGTTTTGTAGCCCCTGGCTAACAAGTCATAAAATGAAATGTAAGTGAGACAATGCATCGTCAACACGTTTTTTAAATATCACCAGATTGGGAGCAGAGACGACATAATTAGGGAGGGCGTTCCAAGGCTGGCACACGCGGAGAGAAAAGAAATTTCTACGGCATTCAAGCCGGCTATAATGAATTGTCAGTTTAAGAGGGTGACCTCTTAGTTTTGTGTTGTGGTTCAATTCCAGCAGCGGACGGCAAATGTGGTTTGGGTTCTTCAGAAACTGGTAAACCATTACGAGATCCCCCCGCAAAAGCCGATATCGACTGCTGTAGATTCTTAGAGATTTCAGTCTAAGCTGATAGGGCAGATGAAAGAGGCCCCTGACGTTCTTGGTTGCCCGTCGTTGAGGAGTCTCGAGAGCAACGAGATCCTGTTTCTGCCACGGCTGCCACGCCTGAATAGCATATTCCACGTGAAGTCGCACGTAGGTGTTAAGCATTTGGGGAAATATTGATGGTTTAAACCGACCGAAGGCTCTGCGAAGAAGGCCGAAGTGTTGATTTCCGGTTCCCCTCGCCTTCTCTGCTTGTTTTGAACACCCGAGATCTTCCTGTACCAATACACCCAGGTCACGCTCCTGAGAAACCTTCGCCAAGGTGTGGTCTCCAATCTTGTAAGCGCTCACCGGCTGGTGACGCAGATGCATCACTTTGCACTTAGCCACATTCAATTGAAGCTTGTTCCTCTCTGACCATTCGTAAATGCAATCTAGGTCATGTTGGAGCAGATCCTGATCTGCCTTGTTACTAATCGCCCGCCATATCTTGACGTCATCGGCGAAAAGCAGGAAGTTTGAGGAGATGACTCTTGCCAGGTCGTTGATAAACACCAGGAATAAACGCGGTCCCAGCACTGAGCCTTGTGGGACACCACATTCCACCTCAATTGGGTTAGAAAGTGATCCCCTAACTCGTACTTGAAGCTTTCGTTTTTAAAGGAAGTTGCCAATCCTTAGCTGCATGCAGATTTTGACTTGACCGGTTCCTGTGTTTTCTTATGCCCATCCCAACATAGGATCGAGCGTAGGGGTTCTAACGATCATTGTTACCACTAAACACATGTAAAACCAACCAGTCACTAGAAGAAAGACAATTCAGAGGCCCGAGAAAAATCCAGCTCCATTGTGCTCCTTCATCGTTCATTCCGAGAACTGGCGCTTTGTACTTAGAATCAGCTAATTAGCAACACTATCAGAATTCTCCCTGCTTGAACTAGTCCATGAGAAGGAACTAAGGAGTTAAATAGACGAACAAATGAATAGTGAAACTATTATTGAGCGAAGCACTTGAGGAATGATATGAAATCTTGCATCCAGAATACGCCAGCTTCTCTGGGTTAAACCGGCTGGCAAGTTTAGAGTGATTGTCCGGAGTGCCGTCTTACTCTTTACATATGCAAAATTTCCTTCCATAAGAATATGAGCAAACATGAGAGATTATGAATTATACCAAAAAGAGGTGACTTTAATCGCGGATACTTTTAGCTGAATGACATGAAGAAAGTCGGCCAAGTTCTTCGAGCCTATACACTGGCATAGAGTCAAATTCTAAGCGGCCTTTTTAACAAATTCTCATTCATTTACTGGCTAATGGAAGTCGACATGCATCCCAGCTGCTGTCATGAGAGCTTAAACCAATTTTCCCAATCTCCAAAATCACGGAGTCCATTGTAACTGAGGCGCTCATGGAGTACCTGGAGAATAACAAGATCCTCGTTCCGGAGCAGCACGGATTTCGCCAAAATCGGTCCTGCACTACCAATCTTTTGTTAGTCCGTGCAAGCTGAACGGAATCTGTGGACGCCGATGTAGCGGATGAAGCATACCTGGACCAAGGTTGACCAAGGTCGTGACCTTGCCAGGGTGTGTGTGTGTACTAATCGGACAATCTTTTGCTGTGTTCAATTGGACCTATCTTCTCACATTCTTGTGCCACCACTTCAGAAGTACGCTCAGTCGATTCGGATCACCGAGCTCTATCCAAGGGGACCTAACTTTTTTAAGTAAGTTTAAAACATGCTTGTACATCACAAACGACTTCCTCGACAGTTTATTCGATAGGACAAACACGTGAAACCTTACCTTCTCGTTCCTTCGGTGCCTTCGAGATCCCGTGCGACAGAGCTACTCTAAGCTTGCCAGCCAAGTTATAAGCTTTACAGTGCACCACTGTTCACCGTAGCTACACCCAATTTTGTCGTCTCACATTTAGCACTGTATTTTTACATACATTTGCCTGTGAATTTTGTCCGCCCGTGTGCAGACGGCACACCACTACTAAACCTGCCGACAGGAGGACAGCTCCGGCTAAGAAGGCCGCAACTGTGGCAGCCTAATCCGTGTGACCGGCATAGCCTTAACGTGCCTTCAAGCCCCCTAAGAATGGGTCGGAGAAGTTTGTCCGCCGAAAAGAGTTAACAACAAACCCAAGGTCACCCATCGCAAGGAAGAGCTGACAACAGAGATGATCTTAGGAGTCACGTGCTCATTCTGTGCCAATTCCTGCGATGCAACAAAGATGAACAGCAAATGTAACGTAGAGCACTCTATCGATAGGTTGCGGTTCTGTGCCGCATGTTCAGCTAGTCCTATAGTTGGGATTATTTAAACGCTTACGATATATAACGTTAGCTGCTATGTCATTAGAGCAAAAGGAATTGATCGCGGTATGAGGAGGGGAAATCTCTGAACTCGAGTGGCAGATTAAGCTAATACGTAGTCCCAATCCCAGACCTGTTTAAAGAATTCAACTCTGCAGCAAAAATGCTACACAATGCAGTGAAAAGCGAACACCCTTGATAACAAACAGCGATGACAACAGGAAGGTTGAAGGGTCTCCAAAATCCCGCGAAATGCTGCAAGGCATGCAAAACTGCACAAAAAATCCGCGATCACATCCGTTATTAGCTGGGCAACAACATTTGACCCCTAAAGATAGTGTGCTTAACGGGGTTGCACCCAAACAGTCTTGTTGTAGCCTCAGCCTGTCTTCCACACCACACAAGGTAATCACTCCCACACGGCATATCCCCGTACACGAGGAACCGCAGAACATGCAACCAAAAGGCGATGACAGTGATTTGTACAAACGTCCCCGAACCCACTAGTGAATCGGTGGAAGGTAGACCAGCCGATGAGCAAAATCACTGGGCTAATAACCTAGGCACTCGGACTGAAGGTTCTCCCAACTAGTCTTACACGCCTTTCACGAAATCCATCATTTCCACACGTAGGGGAATCTCGGTTACCACGACTAACGTTTGACAACACACGTGACCTGGAAGATGTTCTCTTAGCAAGCCACTTTCTAGTGAACTCTCCTGTCAGTGTTCGCATATTTTTGGCAGGTCAACGGGCAGCAAGACAGAAGCGGAAATTCAACCCTAGTGTGTCAGGTCAAAAGGAGATGAAGAAAGTGGTATTGGTTCACGGTGTGCCAGAATTGAAGCATAACGGTAACGATTAACGACAGAAGCACGACATCGAAGAATGGAGGTACATCGCAGAAATAGATGACGTGCAAAATGTCGTGACTTTGTGTAGGTTCATCGCAGTTAGACTCAGGCAGACAGCTACCACACATCCAGGAAAGCGCTAGACGGCCGTTTCGTCCGCTTGGGACTCGTCAGTAGCGCGCACTAGCCGAATCCTGCCGGATTCGAACCCACGACCCTACTCTTGCGAGTCAGCGGCTTATGTCACTGAGCCATGGGCGACGGCAGCGGACCGCCATGACTAATATCTAACTGTGATATAGCGCGGCTCATCCTCCACTGTCTTGCATGTTATGCATGTGCAGAGGACAGGGCAGGCCCCCAGACCAACGACTTAGACGTCATCAGTCTAGTTGCCTCCACAAACTACCAAGGCAGAGGGCCAAAATTGTTGGAAGTGACCTTGGATGCGCCTGAAATGGTATCAGTGGCGATCCAAGCGTGGCATGACAACAGAGAACTTGGGTCATCAAAAGTACGGTTAAGACCATTCCCTTAATTAGTAAAGACCTCAGATACAGATGAGGTAGTCTCGGTTGCACCTATCACAGACCAGCCAACTGTGCCAACGCACGTCTCAAAAAGTTTCAGCAGACCGGCACCATTTGTACTGGTCATGCACAGTGAACCGAACTCCTAATGCATCAACAAACACAATGCTCCTACACCAACACTCAGTGGTTGTATTCTTAGCTCTCGGAACTAGGTAATCGATATTAAACAACAACTTGGGACCGCATAGCAGTTACTGAAACTTGGCTTTAAAACTACACACTTGATCCGGAGATTGAATTCAGTGAGATGGCAGCCATTCGGAATGATCGTCCATCTCACGGTGGCGTCGTTGCTCTCTACTATCCAGATTACTTGA